GTGGTGTGTAAGCATGACAGCCCTCTACAGTCTAATTTCCTACAAACTGAAAACATCTACATTCCTCTTCCAGTGGTAATAGAGCTTTTTATTATTATTGTTTAGAAATGAGTATAACTTTGAGCTTCATTAAAACCAAATGTTTAATTGCATTCATGGATATCAGATTTATTGATTTACTTAACTTTCCCTGTATAGTACAGCAGAATAATATATAACAGTTTCATATAATGCTGCCCTAGCCAAGTTTTACTTCAGCATCACAATTTCTCAGACAAGTATGCATTGATGGTTTATGTTGGCAGGGCCTTTGCTTCTGCTGACAAGTTGGAAAAGAAAAATCCCATTTATATTTTGAGATTTCCTAAAGTCTGTTGATTTATGAAATACAACTGGCCTTGCATTAGGTTTTGTTTTGGTTTTTCTTTTTAAGAGAAAAAAATATCACATTTGACTTTATCGACAATTTAAGTAGTGGGATTATTCCATCAAGTTGCATTGCCCTAATTGAGAGATTACTGGCAAGATAAACAGCAAATAATAACAAATGAATTATTTAAGTTATGTTTTAATTTCTTTTTCTTTGAGATGAAGAGAGTTGTCCTATCATAGGCCATCTCATATACACATTCCTTATCTATCCATATGGCATATACTGCCATACAGTAGGCAAATACCAGTGAGCTGTTCATGTTTAGAGCTGATTAGCAGCAATGTAGATGTGGTTTATCTGGTGCTGACCACCAGACATGAACAGGATTCAAACTGTGTTGAGAAGTAGAGTAAAATATTAGCTCAAGCTCAGGACCACACTGAAGGTGCTTCCAGTTGGCTTGGAGCCTGTGAACTGATGTCTGGACATGCTGTATGATACAGATTTTTTTTTTTTTAACCTCCCTCTCTGCTTCCAGTGATGAAAAGGACAGACCGACAGTTTTAAACAGGGTTTGATTTGTCTCTTGTCTTTCCTGCCTGGCTCATTTGCAAGATTTTTCTCACTTCCCAGCATAAGTATGGTTTGGGACTGGGGGAAACACAGATGTCATAAATTAGATACCTGGAGACCAAAAAATGTATATTTTATATTGCATTTTCCCCAAATATTTATAAGCTTTGGAATTCTGGTAGTCTTTTGCCTGGTAGAGGTAATGGTACAAATCCTATAGATTTCAGTAGAAGTTGGTCTTAAAGAATAGCCACTTCTCGAGTACTTGCAGAGTTGCTGAAATCCCTTTGAGGTTCCTTGTATAGTTTTTGGTTGGGGATGTCTAATTTAATATACTGTCTATTTGCCACATTATATTATTTAACATTAGTGCCTTCTGCAAAATGGAAAATCTGCACCATCTTGTTCTTTGGGGAATGTAGGCTGACTCAGGAGTGTGGGAGAACCATGTTCAAGAGGAAGATACAGAAATAGTCTAGGAGTAACAGAGGCTTTTTTGAAACACCTGACAAAAGTGGAAGGAAAAAGTAGTTAGGGATTTGTTTTATTTGCATCAAATTCTTAGTACTGAATGACTGGTAGGTATTGTTCATCTAATCCTGCCACACCAAAAAAAAGAAAGAAACCATGGCTTTTGACAAGTTATATTTTAAAGGTGCTGTGCTTGGCAGTGATCAGTGGAGGAAAAATGCAATTGTAGGAAAAGAAAATTAGTCAAAAACAGAGAGCTGGCCAAGAAAATTCATATTTGATATTCATTATCTTATTACAGATGGTCACAAGCCAAGTGCTGATATCCTGTATGCAAGCACTCAAAGGATAAGTGTGCATTAACTGAAAAGTATGTTTTCCTTTATGCTGAATATGCAGATTTTTTTTTTACCGTGAGATTGCTTCATATGCAAAGGCGGAACTGTTCTTAAAGGCTCCTGCTGTCACTTGGGACAGGAGTCTAAGTGGCCAGTTGAATAGAATGCCCTGACTCTGGCATGCTCAATAGAAAACAAAATTAATCACTCTGATATTTGATCATTTGTCCATATCCTCTGCAGCTAAAGAAAATGAGGTGTGAAGACATGGTTATTTAGTTATTTTAGACAGTAGCTGGGTGTACAAGGGGTACATTGGAAACTAGGCATTGATGTGGCGTGTTTTGGCTATGAACTCTTGACAAGAAGATGCTGGCTTTTTTAAAAAAAAAAAAAAAAAAGAGGGAGAGCGAGGAAACACTTTCCAGTAAAAGGGTACTACCAAGTCTCTTCCTTTCTAGTATAAATAGTTAAAATAAATTATTTAAGTCTATATTTTTTTAAGTTAGTGTTCTAAGCAGGATAATGTTTATCATTAAAAATAAAACCTTTCATGGTTTTATGTTGGTTTTGAGTTGTCACTAAAGGGAGATGGTCAGGCTGGCCCATTTCAAACAGTGACTAATGGACTTCTGTCCCCGTTCCTGGTTCCAGCTGCCTCTAAAATTAAATGATTAATTGCACGAGGGAAAGACAACAATCGTTATTTGATTTTGCTGATTAAAGAGTTGCCGATTATCTGAGTAAAGGGAATATCTTGTCCTAGTTTCCTAAATTCTTCAAGGAATAAGGCAGATCTGAAAATACTTTAGAACTGCAGGGCGTAAGGTTACCCAAATCACGAGGTGACCTGCTCGGAGGTCTCTCATATGCCGTGCATGCCATCATGTATCCTGGATTTAGCTACAAGGGTTGCTGTGATAAATCAGTCCTGCTTTTCCAACTGTGATCCATCATACACAGCATGCCTGTGTGATGGGTAAATAATAGATCTTACCTGATTTGCCAAAGGTACTAAGGAAGCTACAAATTAATTATCAGACCCGAATTCTTGGTTCAGATCAGTAAAGCAGGCTCCTGGGAACGCTGTTGTACAGCCTTTAATATCATGGGGTTCCAGTCTTTTTTTTTTGTTTTCTATTGGACTTCTAGCTGTTCTAGTTAACAGTAAACTGGTCATCTGTTGGCTTAGCTGAACTGATGCTAATGATGTTTTGTAGCAAAACTTTGCAGTCAGCTTGGAATGAAAATTTCAGTTGACTGGTTAGGAGGACAAAGGCTTTGAGTTTCTTCATCATATCTTGCTAAGAACAGAATAGCTAAGGCAGCTTTTTCCTTATATCCATACTTTTTATTTTTAAATCAGTCTTTATGGTGTCATTAACTTACGTCTGGGTCCTTCCTCTATTTCCTTTTCTTCTTTTTTACCTTTCTGCAAAAGAATTGTATGGAGACACTATCGGTCTCACAATGGTTGTAGTATCTTAGCTTTGTTGCAGTACAGACAGAAATAAAAAGAGCAGACTCTTCCTATACACCAAACAGACACAGTAATAAAATACAGCCAGTTCTGGACTGAAAATTATTGCTGTTTAATAGCATATATAGACAGTATTAAGCAGTTTAGAGGAGGAATTGAGGAAGAATGCCTTGGCCAATTAAAAGTTTCATGGAATTCCAGGTAAGTAGGTTGTTGCTGAACCTTTGCCAGTGCTTAGGTAGGGATTAATGCCTTCATAATTTAAAAATGGAAGAAATTAGTAGTGCAGTGCACTATTCATTGTGGTGTCTAATTGCTGAATGCTTACAACACCCCGTAAGCAACTGCTTATCCTTAGTTTAGAAAAGAGATTTGGGTTTTAAAGGCTACCCTTCTCTCGTCACACAGTTACTTAACAAAACCTGATGTCCAGCTCGATGTAGGAATAATCTACAAATACCTCCTGTGTGGTTGGCAGTATGTGTTCAGGATGCAAGTTAGAAACTTGCAAGTTAGGCACAGAATATTAAATTCCTTTTTCTTACAATAATTTCTACCTGGGCCCTGTCTGTAAACCTACTTCATGCCTTCTTATGCTGTGCAGGGCCTGAGGTACAGCACAGCAGTCCTCTTACTCTGTGGTCCTGCAGTTGCAGTTATAATTACTAATTCCAGTGGTGTTTTTGGAGATCATCCTACTTTATGCCATATAGAACCAGAAATCCTATTCCAGCATGTGAGGGCCACGGAGATCCATACCACACTGCCTATGTTTCCTCTGCTGAGCTGAAAGAGCAGCCTTATGCCAGCAGTTTCCTCAGCAGGAGGAACTGGAAAGATATTCAACCTTTTGTCAATTCTGTTTCACTGTAGTAGCTCAGAAGAATTGGGCAGGACCCTGCACCAGAACCCAAGCATGGTTTTTATTTGGTGAGTTGTATGGAGTATAGAGGGAGAGAGGTTTTCTGTTAGGAGGCAGCACGGGAAGCCCAGAATTGGCTACGTGTCCTACATTCATCCACATATTTCATGAAGCAAGGCAGTGTATCTCTTCCCAAGCCCCTCTTTCCTCTTTGCATACCGTAGCTTAAAACAGTGCAACAAGACTGCTTTAATTGCTGGAAAATCTTTGAGGTCCTCAGAGAGCAGGTAGTATTGCTGTAAAAATTATTATTTTGGTTAGTAAAAGGAGTTAAACAGGAATCTGCTGGTTAACATATGAGCTTCATTCTGCTGCCCCACTGTGCAATATTTAATAATCTATTTTGATACTGCAATGCCTCTTTCATCCTGCAGAATTGATGATTGCATCAGCATTTGGTTTAAAAGGTATAACGCACACTACAGATCATAATGAATACTTTCACTCTGTACCTTTCCTAACAAAAGCGTTTCACCACGCTTTTGTTCATTTTTGTTTGCCATGGGTCCTCAGAAGCACACACATCGTGACTCCACTCAGCAATGGCAATGCATCACTGGGAGAATGGAAAACACATAAAACACAAATATAATTTTGTTCTACAGTACAGCACTTCAGAAGAGGAAAATTTTCTTTGAGCCATTGCTTCTTTAAAAGTATAGTGTGCTGCAATGACAAATATACAGCTTTGATGTTTCCTGCTCCACTCAACCATGACATTGTAAATCAGCGTTTTGCTTTTTCATACTTTGTCGTTATTAAAACCTGTTGTAACTTTGTTGTAGACAAACATACGTTAGCTCTTGGAAACCATGCATCTTACTCTATTTTCTTCTGTAACAGGGGAATTATTGTATTTGAAAACAAAAGCTACATTCTGGAGCCATTAGAAGGTGCTACAAATGAACACAAGATCTACCGAGCAGAGAATTTGAAAACAGCCCCAGGATCTTGTGGCCACCAGCTGGACATGTCTGCCATGAGAGCTGGTGACAATGACACATCACACCATTCTCAAGCTGGCAGGGTAGGTGGATGATGCACTTTATATTTCTGGTTTGCTGAGTACATCTTTCCATATTACTGCCTACCATAACTCTTTGTTACAAGGAGTCCCTACTGAGCAAAACATTAAACCGTATAGTCAACTTCTGTTGATGTCATGTGCTTAAGTGCATACTTAAAATTAACCATATACTTACATGATTTGCTAAAGCCTTATTATTTTTTCTTGATTCCACATGCATAATTTGCTTTTTCCTTTCTTTTTGGTAAGGAGATGTCACAGAAAAGTTTATGGTTTCGTATTATGATAATGTATTTTAGTTCATGTATGATTGTAGTCCAAATTTAAGACCCTGGAAGAACACTGAGAAATGTCTGGTAAAGTTCTTGCCCACCCAAGATGGAAGAGAACATGATAACTGTGATGTTTTGCTAAAATTATGTTTTGAACCTTTACATTCTAATAGGAAATTATCTTATGCAGACAAAACAAATTCCCACCATATTATTTTACAGATGTATTATTGTAGTTGGTTTTATGTCGGAAGAAATGCACTTAATGTGAAATGCATCTATTTAATGGAAACTGTAGAAAATTAAATGAGCTAAAAAACAGGAAGAGGAAATATTGTGATAAGTTCATCTTCATATTGGATGAGGATTGTAGAAAAGACTGGTTTAGGTGTTCAGAAATTATACAATGGTACAAATCTGCCCTCAGCACTTATTAAATGTCACATATTGGGATATATACTTGCATGTACTGTTGCATCAGGTTAATCGTTAAGGAAAGCAACCTAAAGGGCATCCCTAAATATTATTTATGTAGTGGAATTAAGTTATTTTACATTTTAGGAATATCAAATATCACATCTAATGCATTAGCCTTTGCATATACCATTTTATGGGCAAACCAGATTTCTAAATATGTGTGGGTTGAAAGCATTGGAGAAGTACCTTTCACAACTTTATTAAGGTTTCCCCAAAATCTTTGTAACTTTTGACTGAATTTCACTGAAGTAATCAATGTAACTCTAGGAAACTGAAATAAAATGTGTGCATACAACTAGCTGATACAGTCAAAGCAACTGTTACCCTCATGGTTCTCACATTTTGTTGATGGCTTCAACTATGTGCCAGAATTCACCTTAAATATCTGAAAAATATTTTTGCTGTGGCTCAGTGGACATAATTATAAAACCTGTCAACAGTCACATCATATGGATGGGTACAATATATATAATGAGTATGTTGGATACGCTTCTAATATATGAATTTTGAAAGTTGTCAAATGTAATATGTCGAGTGAGTTTTCACATTTCAGTGTTGTCATCAGCTAAGTAGAATGTCAGGACATATTGAATAAAGATGACCTGCAAAGTATGGAGACATAATGCTGCTGCAAGTTACACTGGGTGACAGAAGAAAGCAGAAATCGAGTTTCAGGTTCAGGGCATGATGAAAATTTTTCATTTATTGACAGGTTTGAGGAAGTTTTTTGTTAGGTTGTTTCTTTTTTTTTTTTTTTTTTTTGTTCCCTGACCCTTCACTCAACTACCTACATTAAATTCTTATTGAGCAGAGCTGATATGTGAGATCAATATATCACAAAGTCAGACTAGCCTTTGGGTTAGCTTTAAATACAGATAAATGATGGGACAGACAGTAGACTCAGCTTCCCAGATCTAAACACGAGATTTAATAGAGCAAGTCAGGTAATACAGCAGATGTGTGCAGACAAAGTTTACCCCATTGGAGCTGAGTCTCTATAAATACTGGGTCATTTCATAACTCAGTGGACTCTCAAATTGCAGCAGGAAGTGTTTTCCAGTTGAACTCCATTGAGATAGGATCCTGCAGAAAGCAAGCCTGATGTGTAAGACAGCCCATACAGTATAGTTTTTTCTCTGTAGCCACACAAAAAAAGCCATTTTGGTGATGCTGGTGGACCAAGATCAGGCAGGTGAGCTGTTTGGGGAAAGTGGATTATGGAGAAAGACAGAGAGGCTGCAACACTGCAGTGTGAATCCAATCCATGCCAATTCCTAGGCAGGGGTGCACGAGGAAGGGCTACTGCGGAGAAAAACAATGGCCAGTGGAACAAAGCATATTGTATCCCATCCTGTATATCTATCATGGCTGCATTACTGACTCTTCATTTTAATTCTGAAGGATTAACTCAGGCAATGGATTGTGCAGTTGATGCAGTTGGCTGCAGAAAGCAGGCTGAAAGGAGTCATAATTAGGTATATTTTATAAATAAATATTGTATCCAAGGAATACATATAGCCTTTGGGCAAATCACAGGAATGGATTCGTTATGCAAGTCAGTCACCAGAGGCTTACATGATTATACCCTGCTAGCCAATTTCTCTCAGGCTAACTCTCTCCAGTCCAAATAGTTTTACTCTTGGAAAAAAAGTAAATGATTTAAACTGACCGATGTAACAGAACTCTTGTATCTTTGTACCTGAATTTTCATGTCTCATCTTTTACTCTTCATTTGGAAGAAGACTAGAGGCACCCTGGGGTACATCTCTGATCAGGACCGCATAATAAATTTCAGGTTTATGTTAGACTTCTGGTGTCTGAAAGATCAATTCCATCACATAAAACACACAAGTGGTCATTTGCCTTACGTGGCATCTCACTCATGAATGATATATTTGTGGGGAGGTAAATGAAGCTCTGTCAGAGCACTGTAGGTTCTGCTGGAGTCTACTGAGACATGGCAGGTCCTTTGTATTGCATCTGCTGCTGTTCCAGGAGCAGCAGGAGGGGACATGCTGACTCCTTGGTGTCCTGGTTCCCAGCTGGAATACCACCAGGCACTGCTGACGACCTGTGTGGCAGGCGAGCCATGGACACGTGTACCAAGTCTGTGCACACACCGTGACCCCATGGTGGTGGCAGTTGCCTCCAGTAGAGCACAAGAAGGTGACAGAGAGCCCAAATTCCAGAAGTTGTAGGAATATCCGCCTGAGATCATTTGCCAGACCCCCGAATAAGTGTAGTCCTATGACGTGTTTGTATCACTGATGTTTAGTTCATTAATGATAGATTAATTTGACTGCTTTCTCAGTTCATAAATACTGTGCAAATGGAACTTAACTATTTTCCACTTATTTTAGTTTGAAGGCTGCGTAAAACGATTAAATATGAGTTTGAAAGTCAGAGTAAGTAAAGGTTACATCTGTCACTTTCCTCTAAACACAGTGCTGCTTGCAAAACTTTCAAAATCATTAATCTGCAGATAACAAAGAGAAACACTTTGGTAATGTGAAGAAAACTTTGTGAAATTTGGCTGGAGGGTGATATCCAGCACTGATTTAACTTAGGGGATCACACAGTTTGCCTTGGAACAGTTTTCTTTGGAAAGCTTTAGTCATGTTTTAGGTTATAGAGCATTGGTTTAGTTCAAGACATCATGGTCGTTAATAGGTCATACATCTGCTTAAGCTCCTTAAGTTCTGGCATGAAGATCAGATGTACTGCTGAGATCTCTTTTCCCTAACTGTCTTATTCCAAAAACAAGGGAGGAGTGACAGAATAGATGCTCAGCTGCTGTAAATCACAGAAGTTTTACAGGCATTAATAGGTCACTTAAATTTAGGGTAGCAAAGGAGCTGTGCTATGATTAATATTATTACAAAATCATTTCATTTTCTTCAGTGATCTTTTTGATCTTTCTGCAGCTAAGCATTATGATTCTTTTAGACCTGCGTTTAGAACTGCAAGTAGTGTGACCAGCTGTTTTATATGAATATACAGATGCAAAATTAAACGTATGCCTTCTGGTTTTAGTGTTAGTTTGCTTCCCCAGACACTGACAGTTCATTCTGTTTCTTTCTGCAGTTTTTGTTCCTGGGTTTTTCTTCCTACATAATTTAGCAGCTGACCACTTGATCTCTTCTCTGCTTCACTCAATATCCCTTTATCTCTCATTTTTCTTAGTAACCAGTTTGTCTATTGTGTGAAATGTTTGCTAAAAGTCATCTCATCATTTCTTTAAATGTGCCTTGGAAATAGCAAAGGTCTTTCTGCTAGAGATGATATTCTCCTGCGAGGAAAGATAACTCAAACATTTCAACTGCAGAAAGCTGAAAGGTTGAGACTATTTCTGTTGTAGTAGATAAAAGAAAAACTTCCATGAGGAGAAGGAATACAATAAAAATTTGTATGTAGTGAAATCTTTGGAAGTATGAGATGTTGTGTATCTCCTCTTGCAAGCACTTTGTTGGACTGAGGTAAAGCTGATTCCAAGGGTCAGTTGTTGCAAAAACAAAATACTATTTTCATCTTTTTTGGCAGTACAAGAGGGAGACTCTGAAGACAACAAAGTATGTGGAGCTTGTTATTGTGGCAGATAATCGTGAGGTAAGAAAATTGAAACTAAAAAGTTATGGGAAGCATGGGCTGGAAACAGATAGCTCGGTTCAGCTACTATGGTATTGCAAATTATGTGCTTCAGACAGTGATACGATGGTTTTCAAAAGTAAAGATTCTTGCCTAATTCAGGCTAAGCAATGGAAGGCTCTATTAAGATAGGACAACACTGATAGTCAATTGTAAAATTTCTTGCAATGCTTCCTGAGGAGTTTGACTCTCAAATAACTGGGATATCTGGCAGTAATTGAAGAAGAGGCAAATACAAATTCACTGTCCACGACCTCCTTGAGCTAGTTAAGTCTTTATTGCCATTGACTGCCTTCGGTGAGACCATCACTGTTTAGAAAACGTGTTAGGATCCTACACTTGCTTTTGAAGTGCTACTTTAGCATCACATTGCATGAAGCATGACTGCCTTCCTGACAGTTTGAAGAAAGAGCTCCAAAGCAAGTAACCAGGACTGGCTGTAGAAATGTTCCAGTGAGTTGAATGTCAGCCAAAGATCTAAATCTTGGTTTGAATTATTTTGCTACTTACATTTTTTTTTGTGTCCTTGAACACCACTAGTTAGAGAATCACAGCCCCTCTGCTGCAAGAGCCGAAACATCTAACAGAAGAGCCTTTTCTTTTTCACAAAAGATCAGTCCCTGAAAGATCCCTATGTAAGACCTAAGGATTTTTAAACCTTTTCATGAGAACCAAAATCCTACCCCATAGTGAGTGCTTACTCAGAGGCAGACCATGGTCCTGTGGAGCTACCAGGAGTCTGCTGATGGCCTTTGGTTGCACTCTGTGATTCCCAAACATCACCAACAATGCTGGCAGAATAAGGTGACTGCTGGGGGGAAACTGTAATATATGTGCTGCTAGTACATTGATCCTTTACATTCCAAGTTTCAGAGACAAGGCAAGGATGTGGAAAAAATTAAGCAGAGGCTGATAGAAATTGCAAACTATGTTGATAAGGTAAGAACATAAGCATTATTTCACTTTTCCCAAACTTACTATACTTTCTAAAGGCTGTTGCTGTGAAATCTATGTTTCTTCCACCAGTAAATTAAGAAAGCTCTCGTGCTCAGATCAGCAGCTTTCACAGCCTTTGACACATCTCCATATCTACTCATCTTTTCACCGTGATGCATTCCAGTATTTCAGAGCAATGCTTCTATACAACCAGTAAACCCAACAAAGTAAACTTAAACCTTTCGTATGTCCTTCAACATACTAAGCTGTGAGCTTTGCTCTGCTGTATATGGGGTGCATCTATCCCATATACTATTCCTGAGCACTATTCCTAAGGAAATGTACAATTTAGCCCTAGGATTTTATTAACCTGGGAAGAGAGAAAGGATAATCACATATGGAACAGCCCATAGCAAAATGATTATTTTGAGGAGGAATGTGGAAAACAAAATCCTTTGCAGCAGCAAGGGATGGTCCACTTGTAAGGCCAACAAAGGGCCTATGAAGACACAGTCAGGAAGTTATATAGCCCAAGGAAGATGGCAGAATTAAAAATAGGTAGTGATTAAGGAAGCAGAAGTTGATGGCTGAACAATAGGAAAGAGGCATACACTAAATTTTTTTCTATTTGAAGTAATTTCTTGACAATAAACAATAAATACTAAGAGTCCTCTACAGAGTTTTTTGAACAAATTAAAAGTTTATTTTTGTTGTGCTGTATGGCCAGAAAAAATTAGGAGTCCAGTAGAGAAATGATAACTGAGGGAGTCTTAATTTAGCTGAGAACTTATCAAGTGGTACTTCAAGGGCAATAATTCAAGGAGAAGCATTCTTGATTAAAAACAAGCTGCTGAAGACACATCCACCTCTTCCATAATTATCTTGCTGACTTATTACTGGAGGACAGGTGTTTATATGTTACCTGCTCAAAATTAATTTTGCATGTTATAATATATTTGTATTTCATGCTAAATTTATGCTCAGCAAATGCTGATGTTATCCAAGTGACTGTAATGCATATAAACAAGACAAAGATAGACATTTCTCAGAGTGTCAGCCAAATCTGGACTTGATCGATTCTTGAATCCTTCTTCACATTAGTCTCACATTAGAATTGTTACCTCTACGCCATTACTAATGCTGCTCTGTCTCCCCTCCTGTAGCAACTGTGGAATTTACCAGTGTGATAATAGTGTATGTAGCCCTCAGTGCTAAAATCACTTGTTTTTATCTGCTATGAGCAGGACTCTATGATTCTGGCTATTTTTCAGCTGTTATTTTGAACCACAACTGTAGTACAGCACAGCTGCCTCTACATCTTGAATTGTGATGGTGCTGGAGACAGAGAGCAGCCACGGAGATAGTCATCTGCCATAGCAATAAGTCTGTTCAGAAGTGGTGGACATGTGAAGTCAGTTGCAGTGGTTCATCTTGAAGGAAGATACCAAACTTGGGCGGGACACAGAGAAGTAGCATATCTCTGGATGTCTGTGGATGCCTTCTGGGTATTTAGTCAGGTCGGAACTGTTTTGGTGGAAATATTTTGTCTGAGTCAGTCCTCTCAGGTGTTCACTTTTGCCCTGGTGAAGATACCATTTAAGCCTCTGCAAGAAAGATTCACATGCACGTTATGCATCTGTTGAAATATTCTAATCTAATGTGATCTAAAATGGGTTTGAGAGACATGTTTCTGTTTTTCTTTTCTCATTAGTTCTATAGGCCACTAAATATTCGAGTAGCCCTGGTCGGAGTGGAAGTATGGAATGACATGGATAAGTGCTCTATTTCGCAAGACCCTTTTACCAGCCTCCATGAGTTTCTGGACTGGAGAAAGCTAAAACTACTACCTCGTAAACCCCATGACAATGCGCAGCTGATAAGGTAGACTTGACACTATTTTTAATATCGACCAGGATTTCAGTGACAAGAATAACTGTACTAAATTCCTCTCCAGTTGCTAAGCTGTTGGGAGGAACATCTGTGCTCCTGAGGGTTTGTCTTTCCCCTCTGCAAACATCAAACATAAAAGTGTTTTGCAGGGCCCTTCAGCAGATGCTTCAGATTAATTTCCTTCCACAGCTCTGCAGTAGTTCCGTTAGTTGTAGGCCTTTCCTGAATACAACTCATGTAGAAGTGTAGAGGTATAATAAACTGGGAAGCACTTAGGGTACAAATTTACAAGAAGTTTAAGCTGGTCTCAGTCTAAATTATTACTGATAAAGGCAGTCCTGCCATCACCCCAAAAGTACAGCTGAGGGGACGCTTTGTGAAGCCTGTTTGTTAGTAGAAAGACCTCAGTAAACTTTAAGTCTAAATTGGACAATATGTTTGCATTTGTGACTGAAAAATTAAACCATATACATCTTTTACCTTGCTGCTGTTTCCTGGATTAAAGTAATTCAATAAACATGGTCAAAACAAAAGCACTCTTTAAAAAACAACATAAGAGGAACACCTCTTTCTTGAACCAGTTAACATTTTGATCAATGAGCCGTCTTTTATACTATACAGATAAACATACCTGACGTCTTAGTAATTGAAAGGAGCTATTTACTTGTTACGTAGATATTCTTACATTGTTTGTGTAAGAATAGAGTGAGCTCTTCCAAAGTGTCCCTCATGAGATATTCGATTACTCTCTATGTATAATAATACTTTGTTTGGAATTTTTACATTCTAGGCTGTGTATTTTAACAAGTAGCATAAAAACTTCCCACTGCTTTAAAATAACCCTTCTAAGAGCTAGAGACATTATTTTTATGTTTGTATTTCTAGTCCCAACTTCAGTCAGGGAAAAATGAAAGGAAAGAAGGGTCTTGTTACATGAGTAAACTGAAAAGAGGTGATCAAATTGATCTTTCTCGTAGCGGGGATGCCATCATTGTCAGTTCAGCAAGTTGGCATGACTAATCTCTGCTTTCATTGTTTTAAACCTGTTTTAAGCCTAAGTATATGGAGCTGACACTTTTGAAATGGGATGTTTATTTGATATTGGTAGAAACACAAGACTGAAAATAATAGGGCGGTATCTTGGCACTGAATGGTGAATCTGTGATCCTTCTTCTCTTTTCCCACCCTCCTGCAGCGGGGTGTACTTCCAAGGGACTACCATTGGCATGGCGCCCATAATGAGCATGTGCACTGCAGAGCAGTCTGGAGGGGTCGTCATGGTAAGTGATAGAAGCACAGGACTTGAAACTGGCCCAACTGGTGCGACACAATCTCAAGTATCATAGTACTGTATCCTGTACCAGAACATCAGCCTCATTTGTCCAATTTGCAGTCTCAATATTATCTATATCTACATGCACATTGCTTGTAAATGATAGTTTCTATAGGGAAAAAAATCAAAACAATACATTAAAATATAGCATGACCTCTTTGCAAGGAACCTTTAATTATCATTAAATCAGGTGCGGTGAAGGATGAGAACCAGAGGATGTATTTGTTATGCACTTGGGGATACTAGTGTTACAGGCAACAACAGTCTATTCTGTATCTTTTATTATATTGATTTTATTCTGTATTTACAGAGTTTCCTGTGTAAGGCCTTATTTTCCATCTTTGCAGCACAGTGGTTTTATTACATTGCCAGACAACAAGAACAAACAATAGCAGCATTTATTCTACCTGAGCCTCTCTCAAAGATATATTACTGGTAGTGCTGTGGTTAGATGTTAGGCATGATGAACATACAAGTAAACATCCTAATCAATTTCTGGAAGTAGTTCTGGAATACCTTCTTTCAGAATTTTTTTTATATATATAGTTTTTAACTGTTTTGTGCAAAAGTGTTAACTAAGGTTTGCAATAAAAGTACTTTAAATAAAATTAGATGTGGTCTCCTGGACCTTTCAGGCCACTAGCAGGCTCAGACGGTGACCTCAGCACTCAACTCCAGGGCAGAAAGCCCAGGAGCCCTAAAAATCTCTTAGATATTCTGTGAGTTCAGCATGCGTGTGCTGAAAACCTTCGTGTTTCCTACATCTTTGTCTAGACCTCCAGCCCCTTAGGTGATGTGGTGATTCTCTCCAGCTCTGCTGGACACCCCAGCTGCAGATCCCGACGTAGATGAGGTGGCAACTCAGGAACTCACGAGGTTCAGAGTTTGCGTGGTCACAAAGCTCCCAGTTTTTCAAAGCTTCATGGTGCTAACCTGGCACCTGGCTTTTGCTTCAAGACAATCCATGTAGCGGGGGAATCACAGAGATAAAGCCCCTTGAAGCCCTCTCATTTCCTTCCTTCTTAACTAGCGTGGAAACAGGCTGGTCCACAATGCAGGGCTCCTTTGTGGTCTCTTGGACGAGTAGGCAAGAAGCCAAGCTGGGGTGATGTGTGCACTCGTGGAAGATGATGTATAGATGGTTCAGACAGAGAGGATTTACGAGGTGAGCAGGGAAGCTGAGGTATAGGAAAGAGTGGGAAATCACACAATTTGGAGAAAGTAATGCAAAAATTGTAGAAAAGGCAAAGGCTTCAGTCTCTTGGAAGTTTTAGAAGCCGAGTCTCTAATTGGTGTTTGTTACAGCTTTTCACTGGGTACCTGGGGGATAGTTACAAAAGGTAAAGGAGGAAAAGAGGAAGAAAAAGCTGTAGGAGTCTCCCAGTGCACTTCCAAATCTTGGCAAAAGCATATATGAGGCAGACAGCCCCCTTATATCCATTTCACCCTCAGGCCAGCAGTCGCTGCCCTGGCTTTATATGCAGTCGGAGATGCCCTTAATGATGACTTTTTTTTTCTTTTAATTTTTATCATAAGCTTTAAAATATGCTACAGTGTGTTTTACTGCAAAGTCAGTCCTCTTTTCTCTGGAAACTGTCATTTTATAAGGAAACAACAAAAAGTAGTTCATTCCAGCAACAAGAAAACAAGAATCAGCATTTCTTTAAAGTGCTCTCTAGGCTCTGACAGAGAAAGACTGATTTATACGTCCAGGGGAAACCCAATGTCTGTGTATGAATCATGGGCCAGGCTGCAGCTTCAGCTGTGCAGGGGAGTGTGATGTTTCCCAGAGACTCCCACCTCAGTGAATTGAAACTTTTGAGGTGCAAATTAACTCAAGGCTTGCACAGCAAAACTAGAAATGTTTTCCAGTTCTTTAAGCAAATCCTTAAAAAGAAGCCAAATCCAAAACAAACACTCACCCCCCAAACCCAAATGGGCAGCCACCCAACCTCCCCCCTGCAGTTAACAAGGGCTAATTCAGGTGTGTACAAAAAAAGTTTTTATGTATACCAGTACCTACAGAAGAAAGCTCTAAATATGGAAGATATACAAATGAAAGAATGAATAACTGTTAACCTGGGAGGCTCTAGTGCTCAACCATCTCAACACTGGGCAACTGAACATTTGGCCATCCTTATAATTCAGCCAACCACTTATCCACCCCACCCCAAACACTCAATACCAAAAAGCTCCCACACCCCCAAAACAGATCTGAAAGAAAAAACAATGGAGAGATTGCATGAGAAATAACATTTGAATACAAAAACTGGAGTCATACTTGTATGATCTGATTTTCCTGACTGTTTTTGCAGTTAGTCAGCTCTACTATATGATCTAAATTCCTTTGTCACGCCTCCCTGAGAGCGTGCACTTTCTACTTTTGTACGGGGCTGAATTCTTTCAGTAGTAGGTGACACCCTGTCTCCCACTAGTTTTAAGAGAAAATCAAAGTGGGGAGAACAGTCATCTGAGTATGAGAACTTTTGGTGTATCGAAAGCATTCTAATTTTATTTTACTGTGATGGTTCTGTTGTGTTATAGAAAGATGAAACAAATGTTGACATTAAAGCAAATCCTTGACACATGATTCAGTCTTCATTCTGTTCCAGAAGACTTCCCACTAAATTCATGGTTTTAAAAGTAAAATATTGCTGCGTTGCTGTAATGTGATGTAGTATTCTCACTCATGTCAAATTTCTATTGACTTTAGTGGGAAGTTACACTAAGTGACAAGTGTGGAACTGAGGCACGTATATTTCAGTGAATTGCTTAAGTGAAATAAAAGTGTGTTTTAGGAAACTCATTCCTCCAACTGACTGAAACTGCATGGAAAGTACCAGGATTGGGGCATTTTCCTGTTCTAGCTGTAGGTGACAGTATTTTATTAATACAGTTTGATCTGAATCTCTGGAATGAAACAGAGTTCAGCTGAAAGCAGCTGCATTTTTTGTGCAACAGTTTATAATGTCTTCACAGTACATGGTTGCTTATTCAGTGGTTGTGAAACAGTTTGGTAATGACTTTTACTGCTCAAGTTAACTTTGAAAAACCCTAATAGAATAAATCAAAGTCACATTGCTATTCATTTCTTTAGTCTTTGTGATACTTAAATGGTGTCAGTATCAAATGTGACATGTCACTGTTTGTTTTGATAATCTTCATTTATGCTGCCTTCAAATAACCTCTTTTGCTGAGACATCACATTCCTTGTTTTAAAAACCCTCTCTAGAAACTGATAAAATTACATTCCAAGTGTATCTGAGTAAGTAATGAGAACCGCATGGGCTGAAATAATTGTTTTCCTATTCAAGACCCAAATTGCATTTCAGATCATTTATTGCTCTAGTTCTGGAATGGACTGTGTGAATTCTTTTTTTTTTTTTTTTTTTTTTTTTTTTTAATTATCAGCTTTAGAGGTGTTCAGATAAATATAATCTCTTTTCAGTAAGTAGAAGAAATACTAGCAAAATAAAGAAAACCTGAGCTCAGTTTGTTGTCTGTCTAGGTAGCTTAAAGCTTAGAGGAGTTTCTGTCTTGACCACATATCCTTAATTTCAAGGCGTCACTCTAATGTGTCACCGATAAATTATATGGAATTATTTTACTGTTTTCTTAATCTTTGGTCCTGGATTGTTTTCCAGTTGAGTGAGACGTTGTGCTCTTTTTATGACATCAGGTTCGATTACATTGAATTCTCTAAAAATTTCATAAATTACTATGAGTACAAAGATAAATCAATCTGTTTGTGACTAGTATCTAAGACATCTCCATACGTAGTCATTGTGCAGGAATATGTATTTTCTTGATTATTACAGATTATTTAACTGCATAGGTTTACTTTGTTGTTTCTGTTACTAGGACAGGTTTTACATCTTCTTTCAGCAAACAGGCATCTTGGAATATAACTGCACACAAACTGGCTGTTTTGTTAGTCACAAGATTTTCATATTAAAATTTTACAATTCAGGAAAAACTAGAAAGAGATCCTTTATTAAAAGATAAAATTCTTTTGAGTTTATTCCAAATGCAGGAGGAGTAGTTTCTTGTTTTCAGAATAACTGTATTCTCCTTTTGATTTTGTTTTCTGTTTGAGAAATAATTTGCTAAAAATATTAGCACAGACAGATGAAAGAAGGAACTCGTATATCTACCCCAAGTCATGTATTAAGGGCTTCATTAATAGCTAATGTTTTAGACAGTTTTACATTTCACTTCTTTTTAGTCTGACGGTTGGCTTAGATGATACTAAGAGTTATCTAAACTGAATATATTCATATATGCTTTTAGAGCAGGCAGCTGTACATAGTAATTCCATTTACTGACTGATAAATAGTGGATCATACATTTATATTACATGTTTATGCCTTTAGGGAAAGCTGTCATATGACTACAGTGGATTTTTTTTCTCTCAAGGAAGATGATCGATGTGGAAAGGTCTCTTGCTTGTGGTTAAGCCACAACATCAGTCTGATCAGTAGCCTGTGATCAGATCACGCAGTGAATTTCTCAGAAATAATTGCCCCAAAAATCAGCATTTCAACGAGGATTAATGTTGTTATTTCAATTTCACACTTGCATCATTTCCAATAATCATAGGTTATAATAATGGACCATTGAAGATTTTGACTTGCCATGTCCTTTCATTTTAAAAAGGAGGTTTTCAAAGGTATTTTGTTTTTCTTACCAGGCTTGTGAAATCTTGGACTTTCTCATATTAAAGAGCCAGTCTGAAGAATATTAAATAGACCAAGTGAAGTCTTTTGCTGCATTTGTAATTTACCTCCTGACATGAAGGGTCTTCTTGCTTTTCCTTCATCACACTCATCCTCACCCATAAATGATTACCCTTTCCAGCACTCCACATCTGGGTGACTGTTTTCTGCCACTGCCGTGTCTTGGGATCTTGGGGGATTTACTGAGCAAGGGAATTTTAAGCCCTAAATAAAGAGATGGCCCAGATGTTCAAAGCTGCCCAAATGTCTCAAATGTTGAATGTGCTGGGGAAACTGGGTGGTCCAGACAGATAGGCTGCCCTGAAATTCCCACTCTGCACTTGGTATATGTGGATGAATTTAAAATTGTGTCCATTTAACAACAGTTTATAAAACATTTCAAAGGACAGGCAATAGGACTTTAGAGGGGGAATATACATTTTGAAATATTTTTATATATTGATTAGTTCTTTTGTATTTTTTGTTTTGTTTTGTTTTTTTTTTAAGGATCACTCAGAAAACCCTCTAGGTGCAGCAGTCACACTGGCTCATGAACTGGGACACAATTTTGGAATGAATCATGACACACTGGAGCGGGGCTGTAACTGCAAAGCGTCTACCGATAAAGGGGGTTGCATCATGAACCCCTCTACTGGGTAAGTGCGAGGGTAAGCACTGGAAAGTTACAATTATAGTGGAAAATTTTTAGTTTCATTTTGTGTCTCAGGAACATTTAAAGGGAAAAAAGAAAAACCTTTTCAACACCTGTCAAATCCTCTTGCAGTCATCCCCCTCAAGCCAAAACAATTAAACTTGTTATCAGAGCACGACATGTACCATTGTACTTTTCTATTTCCATGTTACCAGTGTGAAAGACAAAAATGCTGTAAGCAACTGATTAATTTAAAAAAATAATAAAAATAAAAAGCCAAAACAAAACAAACTGCATTGCAAATGTTGAATCAGAGTTTCACCTTCTCTCATCTTTCCCATTGAGTATCAGTCATAATAGGAAATGAGCAGTGTCCCAAGGCCAAGACTAAGATGAATGTGTTGGAAATAAAGTAATGAAGGAAATATATTATTAGACTCTGTAAAACCTTTGTGTTGTGCAAATGAGATTTTTAGCTTTGCACAAACTTTTGTGTTTCACCCCTTGTAAGTATGTAGCAGATTTTGCATGTGAGCAAATTAAATCTGTAAGGTCAGCAGGGTTAGGTCTGTTCAGTGGCCAGGGAGAGATCTTCCAAGAAAAAATATAAGACACTGGGAAATAAAGCCAATGAACCTGTGGTCATCTCTCTGACTCATTGCTGAATGGTTTTTCTGCTAATGATAAAGGCATTGTGTCAACAGAGAAACATAGTGTTTTTGTAGACACAGAAAATACAGGCACCACGACCAGGGTAACTAGTTACAGCTTGATTCTCTGTATTTTAAAGTACTGTTAGAAACTGAATGATGTAATGAATTAGTTCTCCATGTCAATATTCAGAAAAGAACCGATAGGATTAAATTGAAGTAGGAGAGTAGATTTACCAAAGCTTTCTGATGGTAACCGATGTGCTGGACTGGATTGCCTGCAGAAATGTTACTGCCTGTGACTGGAAGCTGGTAAGAACCAGTTGGATGAATATCTGTCAGCAGAGTCTTGTAGGTACAGCTGGATTTGTCTTAAGGCAAGAGGATGGTCTAGATGATCTTCTGATGTCTCTTCCAGCTCCAGCATTCTCTGTCTGTGCTTAAACTTCATCTGTTGCTTAAAAATCTCTTCTGGGAATTGTGATCAGCACAACCTCTGCCTTCTCCGAGACTGCATGTTTCTGGGAAAGAAGGAGAGCAATCTGGGAGAGGCCAGGGAGTGTTGGGCAGGATTGCTCCCCGCTGGTCAGCCTAACAGCAGCCTTGGCTTTTCTTCAAAGGCGTGCTGTCACCCTCCTTCAAGGCAGAAAAAGGGATTCTGGCCAGAGGCCAAGCACAGCAAATTAAGAGACAAACAAAAGAGAGTTGTGTGTGTGGAGGAGAATGAGAGTGATTTCTACAGTTCAGGCAAGAAAAATAACTTGTCTCTTCTAAAACAATAGGTAGTAAATGTCCATATGGAATTGCATTCTGCAGCACATCAGGGCTCGTATGCACACTGTGAAAACAAACTGAAATTGGAAACAGGGCTTGGAGGTGAGGTGATGAGATAGCTGATAAGCAGTGGGCAGACAGGTCTGGGCTCTGAGCACCTGAAAGATGCACGCAAGCATTAGTCATCCCAGCGGAGCTCCTGGTTGGGCATCCACTTACTCCACTTTTGGAAATAAATACAGGAGATAGTCTCAGGACAGAAATTTCTAGATGCTTTCTGAATTCATCTTGTGAAAGCATCTCTAACGTGAGATTAGATAGCTCTTCCCCACTTCTGCCTTCTGCACTGACGTCCTCGGGGTATATCTGAAGCTGTCCACTGTGCTGGGTGTCCCAGAGCAGACGCTCGGCTCTGGCTTGGCCCCGGGCATGGACAAAGCAAGGTTGTACCCACTCCACGTATGCCCCAGGTAGGAGTCCAAGCAGCTCAGGGCACTTTATGTTGGGGTTTCTCTAGCAGATTAAAGGCTGTGCTTCCTTCAGCAACACCGTGCCCGACCCCAGCACCCCACAGGTCTGACAGTTTGGGGAGGGGGCCGTCGGGTACACATCAACTTTGTAACGTTCTCTTTGGATTTTTACCAAACTTTATATACAACTTGTGCCTGAGGAAGAGTCGTGGCGTTCACAGAACTGAGTAGGCTGTTTTGTTTGCAGTGATTATTGATTTATAAATGGAAATTTTAACATCGGATTTATAGCCTTAGGCTTTACCTTCACACTGTGCTGTCAATCTGTAATAAGTATTCTGGAAGAATACTTTACGCCTTAGGCCAAACTGCATTTTACCAATTTAAAATTAACTCTTTGAATATTTACCCAATATCTGACCAATAGTAGTATTCCTCTGACCACCATTATTCAAGGAACACTGAAGAGGTTTTGGCTCTGGAAGTATGTGTGTGTTAAAGGAAGGCTAAGTGAATATTCCCTACCTGAAATACATTCTTGGAATAGCAAAAACGTCAAAACAAAGAGTATCCAAGGGAAGCCACATACATTTAGAGAGACAGCCTGTTTTCAGTATACTCATTGGCACATACTCTGTGCTCTTCTAATTTCTGTTGGTTTAAAGTAGAGTTAGCAAATGCAAGAAAAAAAAATAAAAATCTTTGGGATGAAGCTAGTGTAAAAAGTAAAAGCCCCTGAGAAGTCCCTATCTGATATCTAAAAAGAATAAGATATATCTGGGTTGTAACAGAAAGGCCTCTGTAAACTTTGGAGTCATTTGTGTGGTTGTGCAGCAAAAGGTTTTAAGGATTTTTAGTTAAAAGTGATTTAATTAATTATTGCCATTTCTTTCAGTTCTTATGTTTCAGTCTTAGAAGAGGTCTTGGAAATTACTTTTTGGTGGAAAAAATCTCTGAGGATCAGTGTGGAATTTAAACTCTGTTGGATCTATCCTTTAATGAGCTTCCTATAGCTTTTACTCTTAAAAGATAACAGCAAGATGTGTACAATTTGTGTGAGAGCTACAAATGCCTTAAAGACCCGCTACTTTAGAAAAATGTATTTTGTGTAACATGGAATTAAGCATATAAACCCCAAAATTTGTGGCCCTTCAGGCCTTTTAGAGGTTCAAATATCTGCTCTGGTAATCACATAAATCCCACTGTAGAAGTTTGGGGGGTTGCTATAAAAAATAGTATCAATAAGGAAATATTTAATGCTAACACATTGTTCCCTTTTTTTATGCAGATATTTTGATGATATTCCTCCAGTTCTTTTAGATAGTTTTGACCACAGACTGTTCCATGTGAGAAATAAGGACATAAGGAGTCTTAAAGAGATTTGCAAATCTTTTTACTGGTCTCACAGTATCTGAAAACTAAGGGACTAGGCTGAGCCAGTGAAGCCATTTCAGTGCTCCACTTGTTTTCCAAGTATCTCCCTAAAGTTTCCACCCTTAGGAGTGAAAATATTCTTTCTGACAGCTAGATAAATACAAAAGAGTGCTGGTGAAACCCAAGGCATTAGTCTAGATTTATACTGCTGCAACTAAAAGCAGAATTTAGCACAAACTGTGGCACAAAATTATGTCAATTAGCAGTACTTGTTTATTTAATAATTTTGGAAATGCACTTTTTGTGTGCTCAATCAAAATTGCGTACAGGTATCTTCATGGGGATTGAAATTGGGTCAGCTGCCCAAAAGCAGTTGAAAGATTATGGGTTCATATATGCTTGAAATTTCTTGCCAGCCTTAAGAGAAGCAAAATTTATATAGTTAGTCTTCTCCCCTCCTGTAATCCCAAGGGTTTATACTTCCCCTCACGCACATGTCTGTGTCCTTGCCAATAGCATGCTCTTCTAGTTTATATATAGGTGACTTACCCAATGAGCTTATCATCAGGGAAGTTGAGCATGCTGGAAGCATGTTCTTCCTTCCCTCTTACAGAAAGTACTCCTCGATGCCTTTCCATTTTCCCCCCCGCTCTGGTTTAGGTGTTAATGAGAGACCAGGAATCCACTAAGGACACCTAGTTTTATCAAGCTCATTCAGATGCTGATCCTACTGTAGCCTCCATCCCTTTGCGGAGTCCCATGACTTGCTATAATGAAAGCTGCTTTCATTGTCCTCTTGCAGAAGTGTGCTGCCCTTACCAGGGTCACGTCTTGTTGCTGAATCATCCCAGCCAGGGCTAACTGAAATGCCAGGCAGGCTCCTCAGATAGAGCCGTTCGTTTCATCTCTCTTTGCACTTCTGTAGACAGAAGCAGGCTTTCACTGCGCTGATAGAAAAGAGGATGACGAGAAGAGGGATGCTTTGTAGCTGTGGGAATGATAAAGATTTTTCTCCAGGTCTGTCCTACGACCCACACCCCATTTCTTTTCCTATCCCTGTATTGTGAGATGAAATATCTCATATTGACCTGGCAGGGTGCATGCTTTAACCACAGGCTGAAAGCTGTCTTTACAGCTATAAATCCTGGGGAGACTTTTACACGCCTGTTCAGCAGACCCCACTTACCCCACCGCTCTGAAAACTACAAATGGAAAATGCAACCAGCTTGGAGTTTGCCCCTGCAAACAAGTACAATAATTGGAAGGCAGGAGTAGTTTGTGCTGAGGAACTGTGACTGTGTCTAGAAGGACATGCCTTCAAATACCCTTGAACTCTAGCATCAAGCACCATCACTTTGTGTCCAGTCTTCCAAATCCTCATGCACATCAAGCATAGCCTGGCAGCAGGTCATGTACTTCAACTCTTATTTCTACCTTGGCTGTAAATTTCTTCTCCTCAAAGACCATGAGGAAGGAGAGATGGAATAAATACAAACTAATTTAAAATAAAAAATCCTCAGGAAAATAAAAATACTGTATGGGCTATAGTTTCAAGACATGAAACAAGTGGTATATATTTAAGAAGTGCAAAACCTGATGTGTGAGAGAGGGCATGACCATTGCTATTTACTCAACAGACTTTTGAATGAAAGAATATTTCTTCAGAAACTTTTATTTTATTCTAGGTCTCTTGTAGACCTGTTTTTTCTCTGTTCCAAGAGTTCCAAGGCATATGC